CCCCACCCCACCCCCTCCGACTCAACTCCCTCGTCCCTAATCAGGGTCCGATAATTCTCATAACTGCAAAACCTCCACTTATTTTTCTTATCCCCATTCATTATAATTCTCACGTGATATTTGCGACAAACATAGTATGTGCGTGGCATCGTGGTGAAATGAAACGCTCGTCCAAGTACAAAATAGAAGAAACCCAGGAAATCTTCCTGTCCGTTGACACACTGTTTTACGATTATATTTTAACTCAACTCCCTTTATATTATCCATTTATCAACACAAAATTTCAGAGTGAATTTTACGGAAAAAAGCACAGCAAATGTAAATTTGCACTTTTCAAGGACACGCAAGCTTTGGAGTTCACCAAACTTTGGAGACAAAGTTTACTTTTGACACCAGACGATCCCTATCTCATCAAATCGCAGATATCTCGAATTTCATTTCAAGATAGCTTAAAATTACTGCATCAAAAACAAAGAAAATGAATAGGCTTTCAGATTAATATTATACCAATAACTCCATAGTTAGCCCAAATACTGACGAGCGCCTGATTTCACCGTGTCGTGACACAAACAATCTTAAACTAAAAAAACGGAGATTGAAGCACTGGCGTCTCAAACTGACGCGTAGTAGATCTAGCTACGTCATACGGGGTTGTTTGTAAGTTTGTTTGTTTGTTTTTGTATGTTTGTTGTTGGGCGCGCGACTTGACTTCAAGATATTTGCCATTTTAAAAGAAGTCTTAAGACCTTCGCAAAATGTTAACAAACATTCTATTGCTTCGGAATATTTGAATCTGGGTGAATCAAATCCCGAATTCTAAACGTTGGAGATAAACAAAATTGGCAAAACACGAAAAAAAACACCCCAAAAAACAAAAAACAAAAAACAGAGCGCGCAAAAAATACTAGGTGTACAGTTAAGAGTGGTTGTGAAACGTTGGTCTCTCTCTCTCTCTCTCTCTCTCTCTCTCTCTCTCTCTCTCTCTCTCTCTCTCTCTCTCTCTCTCTCTATCTATCTATCTATCTATCTATCTATCTAGCACGCATGGACCCATAATATCGGGTTTTGTTTCTTTTGTTTTTGTAAAGTGTTTTACGGCGCTCGCAACTGCATAAGGTCATATGAGCGCTCGGGACACACCTAATATTTTCAGTTGTTCGGAAATTTTGAATTTTGCCCGGGTGGCGGCCGAAGCCTACTCTTATCGATTTTAGACCACCAAGGGATCTTTAACGTGCGCAACTTGCACACGGGCCTTCAGAGATTTTTCGCCCTTTAATATCGGGTTTGAAACGTACGGTAGCGTTAACTTAATTAAGCTGCGTTATTGATCATGAAGTGCATTCACCGCTCCACCGGATTAACGGCGGCAACAGCAGTAAAACAACAAAAGGGATCTCTATAAAACAGTCAAATTTTTCGTTTATATGGAAATATGCTGGCCTTCCATGTTTTTGTTGGTGTTTTTTTGGTGTTTTTTTGAGGGGAGTGGGGTTTTTTTTAGGTCAAAATCGTATTTTATCGTAAACGTTTTCATGTGCGATCTGCATACGTTAAGTCATGAACGATTCGAGATTTGATGTGATTTCTATTTCTTGGTTTGACATTTACAGATTTTTTACGGTACTCAGCGCCCACAGAGGGATGGTTTGGCCACGATTCACTGTAATCGCAATTTACTACCAAGGAAACAAAACGCCAAAATCTTGTTTCAATTGTTAAAACGAAAATAGATGAGATGACGTACAACATTTAAAACATATACAGTAAAACTTGTCATTTTCAAGGTCCAGAAGCGCACTTTTGACAAACAGATGTGTGTAGGCAATGGCATCGTGTGGGTTGCAGACAAGGTCGTGCATAATTAGAAAGTGAGCAAATGGGCTATAGGCTAACTAGCAATTATTAAAATTGTAATTAGCGGTTGGAGGGAGCTCTGGTGTGGTCTGTTTTTTCTATTGTTTTCTGCGAGTCTCTTTGTGTGTGTTTGTGTGTGTGTGTGTGTGTGTGTGTGTGAGAGAGAGAGAGAAAGAGAGAGAGAGAGAGAGAGAGAGAGAGAGAGAGAGAGAGAGAGAGTGAGTGTGATGGCATGTGTATATATATATACATATATATATACATACATACATACATACATACATACATACATACATATATATATATATATATATATATGTATATATGTATATATATATACATATATATATTTATATCCCGTAATCTTCATCTATCGATATTTTCAACGGTTTCTAGATCTAGATCAAGATGAAACCGCATAAAAGCTTCTATAAAGTGGAACAATACTAACAACTCACTATGCTCACAATCTGAGAAGGTTTAAAGATTTCTAATTACTTCGTGCAGCACCAACAACCACACTCAATTTGAAGTTTTACCTTAACAAGACTTGCTACACAATAGAGGGAGACAACAGTAGTTCCGATACCCATTCTTCATTGAGTTACCGTAGACTCTAGTGTAGTAGATAGTAGATAGGCCAGCCGCAAGCAGAAACTTGGATCAAATTTTTGTTTGCACCAAATTGGTGCTGCGAAGAGGAGTTTCATGCACCTTTCTTCTTTGTTCGGGAAGAACGATGCCTAGATTACTCTACAGTGACAAAATTACTTTGGTGCAAAGATGTTGCTTGCTCCCAGGGGATACTACCGCAAGCGGTGCTACGAGCATAAACCATCCTCGCTGTCTGTCTCATCACTGACGCAGACAGCGGGTGACGGATCGCAAGGATGTAGTAATGTAGATCTACAGCACTGACTGGTTTAGAACAATGCATTAGAAAAGGAGGGGGGGGGGGGGGGGTTGAAGGCCAAGGTTAGGTGGGACGCGTGCACCAATTGAACCAATGGCGCCCC